CTAAGACCGCGAATCTTACAAAACCTTGAAAATCTAGAACGGTGTATACTGTCTATAACCCTAGGACAACTTTGTGTAGTCTGATTGTGTTTTATACATTATTTGGTTGTTTATGAAGATGACAACTCATAACTTTGATTTGAAAATTTTTAACGGAAAATGTGATTTTTCAATTTGGCAACAAAAAATGAAAGGTATTTTGGTCTAACAAAAAGTTTCAAAAGCTATCAAAGGCAATTTTTCAACTAATTTTTCAAAAGAACAAAAGGAAGAAGTTGATGAGCTTACTTGTACCACAATCATTTTACATCTGTCTGACACTAATTTAAGAAAAGTAGAAAGACTGGATTCTAGAAAAGAACCTTGGAAAAAATTGGAAGACTTGTATTTACTTAAATCTATACTGAATAAACTTTACCTACTTAAACGTTTTTTCAGTTTTAAAATGGATCCTTCAAAGAATCTTGATGATAATTTGGATGTCATTAACAAGTTAGTTCAAGACATTATTAATTGTGATGAAAATGTATCTGAAACGTATAAGGCTATTATCCTGCTTAATTTCATACCTGATTTATATAGGGAAGTTAAAAATGTCATTAAGTATGGTAGGGATACGTTGACACCTAAAATTGTCATAAATTCTCTTAGGAGTAAAGAGATGGAGATTGAGGCTAAAAAAGAAGATAAGAGAAGTGGCGAGTTATATATGATGAGGAGCAGGATAAAATTTGAGCAAATGAATTTGAGTAGAACTCAAGACAATAGTGATCGGATAGTGACTCGAGTGATGAGAGTAGTGAGAAGGAGAGTAAGGGGCGATATAAGTCTAGTGGTAGAAGGCATTACAGTTGTGGTAAGTCTGTGCACTTTATTAGGGACTGTCCTAAGAAGAATAATAAGTTGAAGGGTAAGATGAGAGGCGAGGCGAATTTGGCTTTAGGGTCAAAGAGCGACTCTAGTGAGGTTTATTGAGAGTAAACCTAGTGTGTGATTGCCTAATTTGTTGCATAATGCTGCATTCCAATATGTTTGATATGTGCTTTGCATGAATTTGCGGCAATATGATTACTTGGTGTAATTGTTTGCATATATAGTGGGTTATGATGCATTAACAATGTTTGTGTGTCTTTTGGTGAGATGAAGTATATATACCTAGAGGTACATTGTGGTTTGTACCAAGGATGTGGAATGTAACATTTGGATCACGAGTGGAAATGTGATTAAATGTCTAGAATTCTTTATCTGTAAAGAAACCTTGATCAGGTAGAGTGTGAGAGAGACACTTCTATCACTTTTATTAGGTGGAGACCCATTATCCACGTAGGGTAAGAGAAGTAATGTGGAGATAGAGGATTATCCTGTGGACTTAGGATCTATTGTGACCTACCAGTTAAATATGGGTTGAGTGATCAGTCTAGTGAGCATGGTGGGCGATGAAAGGAGATATGTGTTCTCGAGGTGTGAGCAATACGGAATGGGATATGATAAGTGTGGTGAGATTTTTCATGGGGTCATTTATGCATTTACTACATGTGTTTGACTGCGTATTTGATTAACTTGGTGTTAATCAATAGTTCTGTGTGAAAGTGTTTATGAAAAGATCTGTGTGTGTTATCTTATAGTTGCATCATCGCATATGTATTTGCCCTCGATTGTTTACTGTTCAATATTTGCTTTTACTTGGGTGTTCTTGACCTTACCCCAGGTGAGTACATAGAGTAGATATGGTATGTATTTCAAGTTGGAAATACGAGATAAAGTCTATGATCCAGTTTTATTGGCTATCTTGATTATGCAATGCTAATTTTGTGTTTTAATTGCTTACAAATTTATTATGCATCAAAGTGGAGATTTATTAGGTTATACCTAATAAATTTCAGGCTATGATGTTACTTGATTTTATTTTTCAATCCGTTTAGCCAAATGACTGAACGAAAATTTAACATCACAATTAAGACAATACGACCTAAAGGTTAATTAGACTACTCGAAGCAACCTAAATATTTTAGTGTTGCTCGTGGCCCAATCCGCTTCGTTGGATGGCCATAATTGAGAGGGATTACTTGTGAGTCCATTTATCTATCTATTGGGCCTCTACTTTGATCCATTTGTTAACCTACCTATACTTACCTTATTTGGGCCATTATTACAAGATAAATCGGTCTCTTTTCATATTGTGCTTTCACGGCATCTCTAGTGGTGTAAAACTCTCCACTGAGGGGTCAAATATAGTTCAAAATAGTGTAATGAAATTTGGTGTAACACTATTTATTTACACTCAAATATAAGAATTTCAATAACTCCATTTTGTCCTTCTTTCCACTTTACACCTATGTCCCTCTATTTTAGTATTAATATATTTTAATTGATTTATAATTATTTTAATGTGATGGTTATTTTTATTTAACACCTATTTTTAAATTCAATCAATTAATAAGTAATAATTATTTCACCAATAAATTAAAATTGTTCATCAAAAAGTCAAAAGTTACAAATTTGATCATTAATAAATTAGCACTAGAACAACATAAATATATTAAAAACTTGATTATATGTAATTTTTCTTGTGCATTCAAATGTAATCTTTATAATTTGTAGTATTATGTTTCATGTTATTTTTCAATTTATTAATAAATGCAATATTTTAGTTCATTAAATATAATTTTTAATTTAATAATTTTTTAATAATATAATTTGTAATTAAACAACGCAAATAAAATTTGGAGTAAAATTTAGTTTAAAACTATCTCTAGTGGTCAACACCAAATTTGGTGTATTGGAGATGGTTGTAGCTTCTTCAATTATCTATACTGAAAATGAGTGGATAAATAATATAAAGGCAAGCTAATTTGGCTGTATCTTTCTCCTTTTTCTTCCTAAAAATTTGAGGTAGAAGTCTCGTATGATGTAGAGCATCATTGAACATTGAACATTGGGCTTAGCCTATTTCATAAGGGATACTTGGAAGTAAGAACCCAAAAGAAATAGTGCTTGGGGGTGGATTCCTAGGCCTGCTCCTGGATGATATAGGCCTAAATTGTGCATCTCCTATGATCTCCGAACATGGAGGTGGTCTTATTTCGTAAGGGACACTTCAAAATAAAAGCCTGAACGTGAGGTTGATTTTTGGGATACATAGGGTTAGATTACGTCTCTTGTATTAGTTATAGCTTTCAAAAAAAGTGGTTGTCTCCCTTTATCATCATAGATAAAGGTAGAGGATTCAATTTGATTGACATCAACTCGATTTTGAAAATTCTTTCATCTTCCACTTATTCTTTGACGACTTTCGTTATTTCCCAATTCTTTGGTTCTAAGTATTTGTTTGGAAAACACACTTCAAGCTAAAATGATTGAGTCTATAACTTTCAAGGACGGAGTTAGCTATACTTCTTGAGTTGGATACTTACGAGAACTAGTGATACTGTTATATAAAAGAAAAAGAAGTTAAAATTTTGTTCATTATACTGTTCAGTCTTGTTCAATACTGTATAACAGTATAAGCGTAAAGGATAACCTCTTTCAAAATTATGATCTAAATTGCCCAAGTGAGATGTGGGGTCATGTCGAGCTTCATCGGTGAATTCTTATTCTTGTTTTGCTCACTCATGCGATCTTGGCAGTTTCCAGAGTTTTTCTTTCCCTCTAAACATAATGAAGTTAGATGGGTACCAACACTTGGACAGAAATTTTGATTTTCCCCCTTTTTTTTCCTTCTATTTTTGGTTTGATTCTGTTTAGCACTATGAAAGAAAACAAGACAATAAAGTATCCAAATAGATGTTGAACTTACCTCTTAAATCTTAGCACTACAGAACTTACCTAGGACTATAAAAACATTGTTGTACTTAACTAAGTCATTTCTCTCTCTTAGGCTTCGTTTGGGATAAATTTTGAGTCCAACTTGGGATTGTGTGTTTGATAAACTTAAAAAGAATCGATCATTAAAGAATCTGTATCATATGACTGCAAATTTTGAGAAGTAGTAAAATGGTAGCTTTTCACATTGTGCTTTTAGCTTCTTCAATTATCTATACTGACAACGAGTGAATTAGTAATATAAAGGGAAGCTAATTCTACGGTATCGAAACTTGAAATGAGCCAAAGTTCTAATCAACATGACGGTGTAAAAAAGTGCATAAATAAGTTTCGATGGTTGTAGTATCAATTGCGAGGAGTCCGTGTGACTAGACTCTCAAAAATGGAATCCCGATCCATGCAATCTTGTTGACCTAATTTTTCATGAACTCCCAACTTCGCTACAAGCGACGAAAGGGGGGAATAGGGAAGGCTGATAACTACGTGAGGGGAAGCTATCATAGAAACTTTAGCCCTTGCTTTACATAAATTGTTAAATATAAAAAAGTCAAATCTTTAAGTGACTTTGTGTCAAAACTTTTTGGGAAAAGAGAAGAAGCTAAGAGTGTTGGTAATGAAGCATTGGCGTATGGGTTCAAGATACTATTGAACTTGTTGTACGGTAGATTTGGAACATTTCCATTTAGCCAAATAGGCTTCGGAAAGAATATAAATGATCTCCGTCCTCATCCACATCCACTTCTAATTGAGAAGTTGAGGGACAAGACTAATGGTATATTTTGAGATTTAATAGTTTTAATTATTCTTCCCTATTAAAATAATATATTGTATTAGAAAAATATTATAAATAGTAATATATGTTATAAAATAAAAATAAAATTTTACTATACTATCAATATAACAATATTTAAGACATTAATTAATATGATCAATGTCGCCATTTTAATAATTTTATACACAATAATAAAATACTTTTTTTTATTTTTATCAAATATTCAAATACTGATTATAGGACGTACATCAATTTTAAGTCAAGAGTTTATATTTCGTCAAAATATGACCGATAAGATGCTATACAACCAAACCAACCTACTATTTGAGCTATTTTCAGTCAATGAGTCTTTGTAATTGTAAGGACTTCAAATCAGTTGGGCTTAGATAGCTAGCCCAGTTAAACAAACCCAAAGTTCGGCCCATGGTCAACCTCACCCATATCCAATTGAAACACCTAAGGTGGGCCGAAAATCGGGTTTGACCCGGAATGGCCCAACTTATTTCTAAACAGTGACAATGCTGTAAATAATTGGTGAGGAGCAGAGTCGAGAATTGACTCCCCAAGAAACAGAGCGATAAGAAAAAGGGTGAAGAAACATAGAGAAAAGGAATCACAAAATCTTGCCCCTTACTCAAAATGGGCTTCTCTGCGTTAACCAGGTTCGTTCGCTCTCTCTCTCTCTCTCTCTCTCTCTCTCTCTCTCTCTCTCTGTGTATGTGTATGAATTGTTTGTTANGTTCGCTCTCTCTCTCTCTCTCTCTCTCTCTCTCTCTCTCTCTCTCTGTGTATGTGTATGAATTGTTTGTTAAATGAGTACAGTTCTTGCTATTGACATGCATTTTTGGTGCTCAACAGTGCGTGCTGCAGTTGTTGGAATTTGGGTCTACGTTGGAAATCGTCGAGCTTGTTTTTAAGCCTGAATTTTCTTCCCAACACTAATTCTGATGGGCTTCTGTTGTCTCCCAAATACCAGAAGTTTAATTCCTCTCGCGCATGTGCTTCTCCTTCAGGTATCTTTATTGATTTTTGGTAAATAAACGTTTATGGGCTCGTTTCACGTTGCTGAGATGGATGCTGTTTGAAACTACAGAATGTATGAACAATTATATAGTATACAGTTGGAAAATTGATGCACATTTAGAATAATGCGTGTTTTATCGTTTAGTATACATTTCAAGAATCAAGATACAAAATTACGTTTCTGCTTTAGAGGAACAGAATCTTCACTTCTGTACTTCAGTAATGCTTTGTTTCTCAGTTGTCTTTGTTTGTTCTCTTCATTCCTTCCAAGGAAAAATGGAATTGAAGATCATGGTCACTCTTGTTTCCTGTTTCCTGCACTTCCTTCTTTTATCTTTACCTTTTGCTCAAGTCTGATCTATGAGTTGTTATGTGTATATGTAGACAGAGAATAATGGCAAGAGGGAGAGAAGCACAATAAACAACATATCAACTCGACCCGGTTACGTAGAGAGTTGAGTTGGTTGATTAGGCATTCTTAATGAGGTATATTATTCACATTTTGTGCTACATTAAGTAACAAGAAACCTCGCTGACAAAAAAATTCATAACAAGGCCTTTTAATTTACACTCTTGAAAAAAAGCCTTCGAGAAAAATCTCCTTGTTACTTTTGACTTTGGGCTCCTTGTGAAACTTGGAATAATAGGGGAAAATTGAGAAAGAATAGGTGCTTACTATTTTCCTTCTTCTTAAGATGAGTTTATAATTGGTGAGGGGAAGTATATAGCAGTAAAGAGAAGTAGTGGTAATTTCATTTATAATTTCTTCGAAGAAATTCAATTTGATAATAGTATAAGAAGTTCCCCGTATATTTATAGAAACGGCTCCTGATAAACCCATAAAAAAATTATCAGTATAAATAGGTGCTTCCTATTTTCCTTCTTCTTAAGATGAGTTTATAATTGGTGAGAGGAAGTAAATAGCAGTAAGAGAAGTAGTGGTGATGTCATCTATAATTTCTTTGAAGAAATTCTATTTGATAATAGTATAGAAGTTCCCCATATATTTATAGAAACGGCTCCTGATAAACCCATAAAAAAACTATCAGTATATACCTCTACCCTATATCTAGATACATATAGAATCAGGCTTTGTTGAGTTGATTATATACAGGTCATATATGATAGATTTGGAGTGCAGGAAAGAGGAACTTTTTATCACCAAATTACTTAAGCTTGTTCTTTACCAATTTCTCTTCACATTTCTTTTTCTTGTGAGTTAATTTTGCTTCTTATCATGGTCTTTGATAACAGCTGTGGCTGCATATGATACATCATTCTAAGCTATCGTGATAGAGATTTCCCTGTTGATCTTTTGTTGTTGAACAAGACAGGACAAAACCTCAATTATTTCAAAATTATGTAACCTAAGGCTGATAACATGAGAGGCTGAACTGAGAAAACACTTTGTCTTGATGAATGTCATTTCTCATCACACTTAATTAATATATTTCCAGTGCAAAGCTGATCAGCGATGAATAGAGATTCCATCTAAGGATGATATTCTTGTTTTGCATGGTTTAACTGATTGATGTGAAATGAGTTTCAGAAAATCAATTAATGGGACTCTTCCGCACTTCCAAAACAGTGGTAGCTAGATGGAACCTAGTACAATTTTGAACAATTAAAAACTAGAAAAGAAAATTGTGCATAGGTTCAAATTACCCTCATCGAAAAAACTGGTTGACTTGGAGCTGTAATCGTTTGACATTTCCTCATCTAGCATTTAAGTGGTTATTAAGTGCATGATTTACATTTTTGGGGATCACATTTGATTTTCAGAATTGAAGGTTTCTTATTTCAATTACCCTCTACATTTTATGGAGTTCAGATCCACTTTTGGTCAAGGCTGCAAGAGGGGATCGAGTTAACCGACCTCCTGCCTGGATGATGCGTCAAGCAGGGAGGTATATGGCTGTTTATAGAAAGCTTGCAGAGAGACACCCATCCTTCCGGGAGAGGTCAGAGACAACCGATCTCATTGTTGAAATTTCTTTGCAGCCTTGGGAAGCTTTCCATCCTGATGGAGTTATTATTTTCTCTGATATACTTACTCCACTCCCTGCATTTGGTGTGCCATTTGACATAGAAGAGGTGAGTGGTCCGGTAATTCAGTCTCCCATTCGTTCTGAGGAGGACTTGAAAACTTTGCATCCAATTGACTTTGACAAACTACAATTTGTTGGAGAATCTCTTAGTATATTGCGGAAAGAGGTACTTCCATAGTTCTTACCACCAGCTTTATAAAGATGGTTCATGCTAGTAGCTTCACAGTAGTTTTCTTTGGCACAATATGGAATTTGACTGTTATATTGAACAAGCCTTTTTAATTCTTTCCATATCAGGTCGGTGAGCGAGCAGCAATTTTGGGTTTTGTGGGAGCTCCCTGGACAATTGCTACATACATAGTAGAGGGGGGAACAACACGCACATACACAACAATAAAGAGCATGTGCCATACAGCACCACATGTATTAAGGGCTCTTCTGTCTCATTTGGCAAAGGCAATAGCTGAATATATCATTTTCCAAGTGGATGCTGGAGCGCATTGCATACAAATTTTTGATTCATGGGGTGGGCAATTGCCTCCTGATATGTGGGAACGCTGGTCTAAGCCTTACATTGATGAGGTAGCTCAGATTTACATTGTTTTTCTGGCTAACTATATTCTGTCCCAATTCTGTGTTCGGGTTTGTGTACTTCTCCCTTTTCCTCAATGCTTTGGGAAACCCAGGTGGGCCGTTTGTGGAACTGAGGAGCTCAATGGGAAAGTTCACTGTCCTGTTGAGCTTCTATCTATAATGTGTTTGTTACTCTAAATTTGAGAAGCTTGGCTGATACATACATTCAGATTTGATTATAATCACTTGCACACATGAAGATTTGTGTGCTTCATTCTTCTTGCAGTTTAGTCTTATGGAGAAGTAGTGTCTTGTTCACTCAGGAAACATGGGTTAGATTCTTAGGTCTGCTAAGTTTTTTTGAATCAACAAGACAGAAATAAGAGTTAACAGGTAAGTTTCTCGATAAAGGAGGTCTTTGGAAATCTTAAAACAAGGGATACATCAAAATGAGAACTTCTTTGCTGTCTCTGTCATTGTCATAATCATCTTCTTCATTACTGAATTTTATTTTTATCTATTATTTTTTTTTTTTTTGGGTAAGAATTATCTGGTGTCCTTTTCGGAGATCCCAATATAGCTGGAACACACTTGGTATGGAAGCTGTTTTCTCTATCTGCCGTTGTATGCAATCTCGAAGTTCCAGCTTTCCTTTTTCAATACCTCCTAGTTTGTGAGTGCAGATGGTAAGTGTGGTTAAAAAGAAGTGCCCTCAAACGCCAATTGTGCTCTACATTAATGGAAATGGTGGACTACTTGAACGGATGAAGGGAACTGGAGTTGACGTGATTGGGATTGACTGGACAGTGGATATGGCAGATGGAAGGAAGCGCCTCGGAAGTGATATTAGTATACAAGGAAATGTTGACCCTGCTTACCTATATTCTCCTCTTCCTGCCTTGGAGGATGAAATTAAAAGGTTTGTCAGTTAAACATGTGCATCTTTTGTTTGATTTAGGTAAAAATCAGATTTTTAGTAGATTTGGATCAAAGTTGATGAAGTGTGTGATTTAAAATTTTTAAGGTTGTGGGTCCCATGAAAATCTGATTTGAGAATGAGTTTGAAGAAAAATGAAATGTTGGGTTGAAAATGAGTTTCTGCTGTTCATTATATGTAGCAGCTAAAATTATAGTAAGGTCTATGGTTATCACCCCCAGACGTGCGTATGTAGTGGTAGGGGGGAGGAAGGAATGTGTTACTTGAGATTGAGTCTTTGGGTTGCTATTTGCCTATTTCAGTGCTTAAAATATGAAGACTCAGAACTTGAATATAAAAATGTTATCGTGGTCAGAGTAAGGTTAACAACTAATTGTTAAATCAACCGATTATTCTAGGAGTCATCAAAGTAGCAATTGCATTTATATTACACGAAAGGGACAAATGGGAGAACTATAAAGCAAATAGTTTCCTTCAGTTCCAAATTTCCAAATACTGATAGTGGAGCTAATGATATTTATGTTGCAGGGTTGTACAATGTGCAGGGACAAAGGGCCACATCCTCAATCTTGGCCATGGAGTTCTCGTTGGTACACCAGAGGAAGCTGTTGCTCATTTTTTTAATGTTGCAAGAAGCTTAAAGTTCGATACACAAGTCGACAGTTATGTAGTCGGGGCATCCAATTTGGTGGGTTGAAACCTAAAATTTTGTCAAACATAATGGAAATTTTGTTGTACACAGTCAGAAATTCTCCGGGTAACTTACCAGATTCTTGTAGCATATGTATCAAAGCCATGAGTTTGTGCTCATGATTAGGATGAAAACCATGAAAACTGTATGCTCTGGGTTAGCTAATTGGTTTATTCAATTCAGTTCTAATTTGAATTCTTTATTTTCTCAATGTCTCTGAACTAATTATCAATCACAATGCTGTATCATCTTTAAGTATGTTCGAAACACTCTTTAATATCACTTTCGTTGATTACTGACTACTGACGTAAACATTAAAAGTTTCTTCATCCCCTGACAAAATGCAAAGGAGTTTGATCTTGGACTTAAAACTCGACATTGATGATATGAATTTTGCAATAGCAATATCTATTCTAATATCCATTTTTTCCCCCTAGGAAACTACTTAATTATAGTTGTTTTATAGTATTATTACCCTCTAAAGTCATGGAGTAGAGGGTAGGGATTCTCTACAACGACACTGTATATCAAGATGTAGCCTATGGTCCATCCAAAGACAGGAGCTTTACAACACTTCATTATTCTCTTTTATTATAATTATATCACAGTAGATACGACTGTAAAGTAAAAAAAAATGATTCTATTTGTACCCCCATCAACCTGTCAAAAACAGCCTAACAAAGCAAGACAAGAACAGTAGATATTCCTCCTTATACCAGGTTGGGTACACAACAGATAAAGTTAATATCACAAATTAACCTCTTGTTGGTATCTATTAGTGGCAAAAGAAAAGATGATGTCAGGCACACAATCAAGAATGAGACAAAAAGTGTGACTAGGTCACTAGGTTCATGTCCCTCCAAAATCTAGATAGCCACCACAATAATGTTAATAGGGAATGAATTTACTACGACCACCACTCGCAAACTTTTGCATCTTTTGATCATCGACTAGAGCTTTTAACTTNTAATGTTAATAGGGAATGAATTTACTACGACCACCACTCGCAAACTTTTGCATCTTTTGATCATCGACTAGAGCTTTTAACTTCAACAAGCCTATATATACACGTGCACAATTTCTAGGACATTTCATTTCTGAGCATAAGAGCTCTTTGTAAGCAGTGTTTGATTGATTAGTTTGAGGTTATTGGGAAAAAAAAAAGGAATTTTTATTATCCATTTATCTTTATACATATATAGAGGGGGGTTAGGGTGTGTAGGGTGGGGGTGATTCCAGCTGGTAAATTGGAGACTAATTATGAAGTCTATGATTAGTGATAGAAAATTAAAAAGAATCAACAAATTAAATATGTAGACAAAGTGGGGTCTCCATAATGTTAATGTTTAGATATTAATATCCACTGGCAATTGGATTTTTTGTTTAATAAATTATTGGGATTGATAATTATAGGCATTATATCATTGATTGCAACGTTAAAATATCGGTGAAACGAATGAACAATAAAAGCGAAATGAAATAATGCAAAGTTCTAAATAAAAACACACTGATTAACAAATGCTTACGTACCGAAATGTCAAACATTTGGTTTGAGACTAATGACTTAAGATGGATGAATGAGGCCTCACATATATGTTAGGGGTAATTGTTCTACGTTGAGAGAACTTTAGTCGATTCGACGTAAGGATCTTTAAGGTAAAATTAAATGGGTTTTTTTATGAACAATTTGGTCAATATTTGATAATTTTTTCTTTAAGTTTAGTATGACTGTGCTTGAACTATTTTAGAAATGTTTAATTTATAGATAGATAAAAATAAGTGGTGAATAAGTAAATCGTAATCGTGGGTTCATTGAAATGTGTGGATGAAGTTTGATCATCTATAAATGATTATCATACAAATGCTTATTAAATGGGTCAAATTCTATTACATTCTATCCAAAATTTTAAGAGGGCAGAAGATCATGTGAACTTTGCGCTAACTCTCGTAACATGAGAAACGTTAATATGTTGAATTTGAACATGATTAACAAAGAAAATATATTTGATGTCTTTCCTAGCAAACATGTATGTCGACCTAAGGTCTTGAACAATGACGAGAATGGAAAAATATGATAAGACCTAAGGTTTTGTAGCCGAACTAATTTTTTTTGGAGCAATTTAAGTGAAAAGTACTTATTACTTTCGTAATGATAAAAAATGTGACTTGATAAGATAAGATGGAGCTTTTATGGAAAAAATTTATAATCAAAAGAGCTAACTTACATGAGATCATGGGAATAAGAGCTGCATTTTCCCAAATAAAATATATAGATTTTGTACTACAGAAAAAATGCTAATAAAAACATATTAGAGGATTATTAAAAAAAAAAAAAAAAAGACTTAAAGTAACACTAATCCCGTGAAAATGATATGTTAAATTCTAAGTTAAGGACCATTTGGTAGGATTTCTGTATCTTGTAAAAAAATTTCCTCAGTAAGCTATTTTAAGAGTTTGTTTGAGCCCCACTAAAAACTAAGAATATATTTTGGAATAGTAGATTGATAGAGAATGTGTTATTAAAAAATAAGGAAAAGTTTTGAATTTGCTTATAGTATTACTTTATTGAAGAATGTGATGGGAAAAAAAGAGAGAAAGATAAATATATTTTGAGAATAATGGAAATCAAACAAGGGCTAAGTCAGTTTTTTCTAAGGGTCCATTTGCTTGGATTTTTAAAAGTGAAAATTACCCAAAAACCTACCTTTTAATTATACATTTCAAATATCAAATCTTAAAACTTTTCTTTCCACCAATTAGGGGTTAATTCATCTTTTAAATATTAATAATAATATTATAAAATCAAAATTTATTCCACATATTCAACCCCATCCACCCCCATTTTGTTCAAACCCCAATTTCATTTCCAACACTATCTTTTCTCTTCCCTCCCTATCTGTTCTCTCTCTATATCACTCTCTCCACCCCCTCTCTATGTTCCATCGACAAGCTATCCGTAAAGCCGTCGATGGAATACTAGCCACCACCATCAAAGGGCGCTCTCGTTGAAAATCATACAATTGTGAAGAATCAGCTCAAACTAAATCACATTCTTGGTCAATTGGTTCACAGTTGCCGCAAAAAGGCCTTATCAATGATTTTAGAGAACCTTCTAGAGCAGTTGTAGCTTCTGGTGGTCCGATTAATTAGCCTGACTCGAGCCGATTTTGGTGGTGCTAAATTTACTAGAGGTGGAAAAGGTGGTAACTCAGGTCTCGTGGGTGATTAGGGTAGCGGAGGTGAGTAGGGGGCGGGAAAGGTGAGTATATTTGTGGTGGTGGGGAAAAAAACTGGTGGTGAAGGTGGAGTTGGTTTAGGACTTGATCGGTGAGTGGTGATGGTGGTGTTGGTGTGTTAATAGTAGTGGTGGTGGCGGCGACGATGGGGTGAGGTAGCATGACATTTGATTGGTGTTGGTGATGGATTTGTGGGTGGTGTGAATCTGCGATTGTGCTGATTTACATTTGGTGGTGGTAGTGGTGTAGTGATGTCGGTGGTGCTAGCAGTTGGTGTTTGTTGAAAGTGTTGGTGGAAGTAATGGCGATGCTGATGGTGATAATGATTGTTGTTGTGAATTTAAGATGAATGTAGACTTGAGTTGAAGTGACATAGTGGTGCATTGAAGTGGTGGTGAGTGGTCGTGGACTGTGGTGTGGTGTGTGCAGATTTGTTTGTGGCGACCCTTTGTGACCAAATATGTGTTTATTGTGATCAGATGTAACCAATTTTGTCTTTATTATGATTGTCTGTGATCAGATTAACAGTGAGTTACAAATTAGACTGATTTAGCCATAGAGAGTCACATTGAATACAAATTTGGTTACAGATAACACATGTCAATGACTTGATTACATGCAGTTACAAATTAAACTGACTTGGTCACAAACAGTCTGATCACAGTTAATCACGGATAATACAGGTATGATAACAAACAATAAATCTGGTCACATATAACACAGTTAGTCACAAATCTTGTCAACTACAATGCAACACTACAGTCACCACACAATACTCAACGTTACTACCACCCCACCCCACCACCACCATTAAATAGATCATCTTTGATACACTTTTATCACCTGCAATGCACCATTACCGCCACCATGCAGATATATTTTCTCAACACAGTGCTACCTAATCACTACCACCACCTATGAAATTATGTGTGTCTGTAAATGCGTAAAGAGAGAGAAAGCTTCTATAGAGAAAGATGATATTTTTAATTTTTGGAGTTTTCTATAGTGAGGGCAAGGTGAGAATTAGGTTAGTTGGGGTAGAGGGTGTAGAGAGATGTGAATTTTTGGAGATTTCTGGGGGGTGGGGTAGGCTGGGTCACCAGAGTAATCATCGGAGCAGTTTACCAAAGCGGCTGTCAGAACGGTCGCTAGAGTGATCATCGAAGCCGATGGCCATCTTCGTTGGAGAGGTGGAGCGAAAGTGGGGTGAGATGGAAATAATTAATGTATATTATATTATAATTTCATATTTAATAAATTTATTTATCACCTAATTTTTGAAATATTTTAGTGAGTTTGTTATTTATGAAATTTAATCTTTAGAACTAGGACTTATATGTTGTTCCTTTTTTTAAAAAGTCAAAAGTTGCTTCTAAAATTAAGAGCCCATTTGACATAATTTTTTATTTTGCTTTTACTTTCCATAGAAGAGTTTCTTGAGAAATCTACCTCAATTGTTGTGAAACAAATTTCTAAAATAATTTTCTATTCCAGAAATGTTTAGAGAGTCATATTGAACCAATTTTATTTAAAAACTCTTCTAACCAAATGAAAGTCTTTCATAAAAATTAGTCAAACAAGTCCAAAAGAAACTTTTGGGTCTCAAAAACTCATTTTGGCTTCTCGAAAACCATGCCAAAGATGTACTAAATTTTGATTTTGAACACGTTTAGCCCATGTTTAACAACCATTATAATGAAAAAATTGGGTCAAACATATTTTAAAATAGTAGTTTTTAGAAGAATGTATGGTTAAAAAAGAAGGAAATTTTTTTCAGTTCCGTGTAATATTATTTTATTAAAGAATGTGTGGTTAAAAAAAGAGAGAAAATTTTATTAAAATTTTAAAAAAAATCAAACAATGGCTTCATAATTTTTTGAAAGTGCTATGTCTAGCTACAAGTAGGGGTGGGCGCGGGTCGGTTCGGTTCGATTTTAAAGAGAACCGAACCGAACCAAATTTTCGGGTATCTAGTAAATGGAACCGTCGGGTCCAAATATAATTATAGAACCATTCGGATTCGGTTCCGTTCGGTTCTGTACTATAATTAAAAATTTTAACATTTATAACAATATTATATAAATACAACTAATGATACATTCAATAATTTTGGAATGTCAGAGATTAGTAGACTACCTTGTTCAAATGATCGCTACGGTCAAAGTTTTGGTCGGCGGAGGTCACAGTTTCGATCGGAAGTCACAGCGTCGGTCGACGATTGTATAGATTTTGGAATGTTAGCGAGGCTACAAGAGTGAGTGTAAGAGTCGAGACAATGTTATGCACTTTAGTGTAGGTGTTCAGGGTTATTTAGTGGATTGAATCTTGTTGGGCTAAGAAATGAAACAATAAAATGGGTAATTGGGCCAAAAATTAAAAAATTAGAAATGAAACAAATTATTGGGCAAAAAATTTGGATTTAGAAATTGTTAATTTGTTTAGAAAAAATTAAAATTAAAATAATTTGATTTACTTAATATAAAAAAAATTAGAAAGATTCGGTTCTTTTTCGGTTCTTCGATTTTTGGTCTAGAATCGAGAACCGAACCGAACTGTACCCGTCGGTTCTCAATTCAGATACTCGTTCGGGTATTTAATTTGATAAGAACCGTTGAGTTCGGTTCGGGAGATTTGCCCAACCTTAACTATAAGAGTTTTCAGAGAAAGTTAGCTTAATTAAGGTAACTTGCTCAATAAATTCTCATACAAAATTAAAAGTGGAAGCAAAAATAAAAATCTTGTCAAATGGGATCTAAAAGCTCTTCTAACTAGATAAATCACTATCAGAAAATTATCAAAATATGTTCAAAAGTAACTTTTTAATCTCAAAAACAGTTTTAGTCTTTTCAATAACCCAAGAAATGAGCCCTAATAAACCTATGGGTCCATCCACCTATCCCCTTAGATATATACAAGCATGCTAACGTATACAAGTTGAGATCCTCTTCTAGTTCAGCTCCAACTACATGTATACAAGCAAAAGAAATTAAGTAAAAAGTCCACAAAAATGTGCACACAATTACACAACTATATAAGCAACTATGAGTTCGGTGAAATTAATGTGTTAAGGTACAACAACTGAATAGAACAGAGTTTTGAAGTAAAAGACAACAATGTCTGATTGTGATAATAGGACCAATATGTAGAGTACTTTTTCTCACATTATCAATAGTTCCAACAAGACAACTAAACAAGCCATATCCTAAATAAGAATAAGGTTTTTACTAATCGAATCGAGTATCGAAATTTCTAAAAAATCTGTAAGAGAAAATTACTGTCATGTGTTGAGATCAGGTAATTAAGAAAAACATTACTATTTCATAGATTCACAAAATCCCTCATCTTCTGGAAGAGACAAAAGAATATTTTTAAATACTCATAAGTAACATTACTTATAAGTGATATATATTACATATATATATTTGCAGTGAGATCATACTGAAGGGACATTCATGGCGAGCACAAGATGGTGCAGAATCCCAAAAGACAAAACATTGGACAAAAGTTAATATAAATATATATACCTAATAATATTAAATTCAAGAAACCACAAAAATCTATTATGTGCAGAATTTCTCGATCAATGTGCGTATGAGTGGGAGTGTGTTCTGATCAAACAGATAAAGTCCATTCAAAATCGCTTCTAACCGATTTTTGGAATAAACCCAGATGAAGCGCTTCGCCTTTCACTCAAGGAAAGAAAAGAACGAAAGAACTGCGATTCGATTTTTCGACTTGAGCCCAACCCTTTACTTAGGTACCTGTTTCGAAGGGAGCCTTTGAAGAGTCTTCATCTTCCCCACTTCAACATTATTGATATTGTTTTCCCAGGCAAAGAAGGTTCAAGAGGGTATGAAAATTAGGGTTTAAGAGGACTGGATTAGGGTTCAACATGAACATACCGATTTTGAAAAAAAAATAATAATAATAATAATAAATAAAAAATAAAATCACTTAATTGTACTGGGATTTTGATTATCAAAGAGTAAACACGTCAAAAATTTTGATCCACATGTAAATATCTTCATTCAAAGTAAAAATTACTACATATATGAGGTAGAGGTTCAACATGAAAAGCAGTAAAAAAATGGAAAGTTAATTAATAACCATTCATGAAAAAGCAATATAGAAGCGAGAATTACATCTGAAAGCTCGATGAGGTGCCTTCATTAATGGTGCTTTTCTTCTTCTTCTTCTTCTTGTATGGGATTCCCCGCGCCTTCGCCTGGGAGTCCCTTACTTCGCGTAGATATACGCGTATAGCGCCACTAGCAAAAGGGTTCGTCTCTGGTTGGCCTCCGTTCTCTTCGTAAGCAGCACGGAGTCGACCGATAAGGGCATCGAGGCTACCCCATGCTTGCCTAAGGGGACAAGTACACGGACCTGCTGGCTCAACCTGTCCAAAAAAGACACAACCTTGTACATGTACCTTAGTTTTTCCAAATTGATCGAGGTATCGAAGGAAATCTAGCACATGATTATAGCTGCACTGGGATAAAGCCACTGGTGGTCTTTGATTCCTTAAATACTGCCCAAAAGTGTTCCAATCACGACGTTTTTGGGACTCGTATCGACTCAATTGGGCCGGTTGCTGCTGCTGCGGATTATGATGATGATCAGCTGATGCAGAAGCTGTTCTTGATGAAGACCCTTCTCCTTGATCGTTCGACGACGACATCGTCCCCCGGATTTTTCTTTTCCCTATGGTGAATTCTTTTGCAAGTGAAAGAAAAAATCAGAATAATTGAAAATGAGCAAAATTCAAGTGGAAAATCAAATCATGGAAATGGGGTATTGAGGAGACATGATAAGGACCAAGGAAAGTGCTTTAGCTCCCTCTTTTTCTTCCTTGACAACACTATTTTCTTCCTTTATATGGTACTATCGGTATATTAATTTATATGTTTCATTATTTTTTTAATTGTGCTAGCATCATTGATGAAAAGCAATCATTATCAACATATCAAGACTCTAAATTAGATTTTTAGTAGATTTTGATAAAAACTAATGAAATGTGGGATTGAAAATTTGATAAATCTTACAGATTTCATGAAATATGTAGTCGAAAATAAATTTGAGAAAAAATGAGTTTTAATAAATAGAGGCCAAACAGTAGTTTGGTACAGATTATTAAAAACTCATTTTTTTTTTCACAATCTCATTTTCAATCGTACATTTTTACAATGAATTTTTTTTGCACGTAAACCCATAATTTTTTCCTATCTTTTAACCACATTCTCTAGAAAAATTATTTTTCACAAAATCTACTCTCAAAAAATTCCCTTCATATATTTTAATCCCTGCTGACTAGGTATGGCTAATTCAATAATTAACCTAAGTTAATTAGACTAATAGGCGGTTAATTAGAAAAAGTAAGATAGCGTAAAATCATTGTTTATTCTTAGTGTTTAAAGTGAATTTGAGGTTGTCTCCCTTAAAATCTGATTAAGGCTTGATTAGTAAGTATTTCATTTTTCAATATATATTATCTTCACTAACGACGACTAAAAACTCCATTCTTTAGTATTCCATATCTTCACTAACGACGACTAAAAACTCCATTCTTTAGTATTCCGTAACTCCATTCTTAAGTATTCCGTCGTTGTTAACGCACTTTTCTCGTACTCGAAATACTAATTTTTTGAAGATAACAATCATCAGATGTCAAGACAGTAGCCATCTTTCATTTTTAGAACATTCTTTGAATAGAAGAAGTAAGAGTTCTTAAGGAACTTGTGGCTTATAGTAGTAATTTTGTCATTTGTGATGGTTTTTAGAAGCTAATTAATTATAATATACATGAATATTTAATTAATAAGGTACATCCCATTGGACAGAAGAAATTCCATAACTAATATTTTGAAAATCATCCATTTATTTTAACATATTTATAAATAAATAATTAATTAACTTACTTTATTGTAATATACTTGATCATAGCGATGGCTTCATTCGTACCCTTCTATGAATAGTTTAATATGCTATATTGTTTAGTTTAAATAAAAATATGACTTTTGATTATTATTTTTTGTCCCTCAAAACATTGCTGCAAGAAAAATAGCATTTTATAATATGTAGACAACAATATTTATGAACTAACTATCGTTAAAAATGATTTATCATAGCAGTCACTAGATGTATATTGCCATTGGTTGTTAACGTATCATTTTGCAACGTTCATGATCTATTGCAAATGCACGTCGTTAAAACATTAAATATTGCATGTTACTAAAACATTAACAGCAGCATGCTTCACAATCTTTAGCTACTTTCATTTATTTTGTTATCATATCCGTCTTTTCTACGGCAACATCAAATACCACAACGTACAGATACATGATGTTAAACATTTACAACAACGTATTCTTTGCTAGCAATATTTCTTGTGGTGCATGGACATTAATATTGTAAAAATTATTGTTCCAGAAAAAAGCTGAAAATAATTTAGTGAAAAAGGAAAAAGGTTGGAATAATTGGCCCAGTAACATTTTGACCCCTTGGCATATTTCATAATCTTTGATGATTTGGTTGACTCTAAAAGATTATGCTTATACAATAAGCAGAGATAATTAATTTAACAGCTAGGGCTAAAAAGCAAGATTAAAATTCAGCCACATGTTGTGATTAAATTTAATTAATAATTAACTCGTAGGATTAGTATTTTTCCAAAAATTAATATAATTGTCACAGCAGTCACTACCATTATAAATACTGTTGATAATGCTTTATTATTATTATAATTTATAATTTTATCGAATTGTACTAATGTTAGTGATGTTTTTGTTGTTGCTCGTCGGCTTTTGGGCTACAAGTCAATAGGCATGAATAAGGGGGAAATAAAAACTGGTTAAAAAATTATTTTCTTGTCCAAATCATTAATTGAACAAAGGTTAAGGTAGTCAAAAATTCAGAAAAAAATAGAGTAATATATTGTTCCTTCTGACCCAATTTTATGAAATAAAATGTCTTATTGTGAGAAGGAAAAAGAACTCTCTTTTTTCCTTTTTTTTTTTGTAATGAAAAGAAAATAATGAAATAAGAAAAGAAGAATTTTTTTTCTCATTACATCAACTTAGTGCATATTCGAATGCTGATTGGACCAAATGTCATAAATGACTTACAAGAAAATTAATTTGCAATGCAATTATAAAATGAAAATTTAGGCGTTGATTTTTCAGTATGGTGAAGCGAATTGCACACAAACAAGAAGACAATAAGGGAAACGAACACTCATTGCTAGTGTGTGGTTGAATGAATATAAAAGAGAAACAAGAGGAAAAATGGTATGCACGGATCTACAACATACATTGAACGTCGTAGTATTATGTAAGGAGAAACTTAAGTCCTAAACAAATTTCACAATAGCCTAAAGCCAATCAATGCGTAGCTTTCTCTGTTCACGAACAAAGCATTACTAATTTGAGGTATTTTCAATTCTAAGAATTATGTTTTTGTTAGAAACATGAAAATGTGTATGAATTTCATATAAATTCTCTTTATTTATTGGATTTAGAATAATTAAAAATTAGAAAAACATCTTATTATGTCGTAGCTTATAAGACTTGAGTTTTGAATTCCAGATTTTATGTCTTCTAGAACACTGATTAGGAGGTACCTTTTACGGAGTGCGAATCTCCAGTCTTATTTTGTTTCAAAGGGATTGTTAATTTTAATAATTCCAAGAAAGGTTTTGTTAAGTGTACGCCACCTTCTCAAAAAGGGAACGGCTCACAATTTTTTATTGGGTGTGGGCCTCCCTCTTATGAGGGGCTGTACATCGAAATATACAAATAGCAAAACTCTTTCAAAAATGGTCCCTCATGCACTAGGTTATTCATAAAGTCTCCATCTGCTTCGCTTATACAGAATCAAGAAAAGATTTGTTATGAAGCCTTAATCAACAAAAATTTCATTGATTGGACGTTTAAAGGTTATCTGGTCTGTCCCTACTTCCATTTATGAATTTTCTTCAATTAAACATAAAATGTAAAGGAAAAAAGGGAAAAAATAGACACACCTAGAAAGATGTTCAATAGGACCTTATTGTTCTAAATTGCTCAAAATTTATATTTCATTATTTTTATTGAAAATAATACAAGAAAAAATTATTACCAATAATTCTCTATTAATTAATGTATCATATGAAGTTTCGTAGTCTTAATAGTTAATACTAATGTAGTAAGAACCAATCCGACTCGACTTGTTTCGACCAGTGAAATTGGGAATTGGGCCAGGAAAAATCATATTATAACCCTTCATTTTGCTCAATTTTATGAAAATCGTTGACCCATTTCCGACTTTACATATTTTAAATTTATAAAAAATCGTCCAAAATCCAGCCCAAAAATCTATCTTCTGAATTATTTATTTTTTAAAAATTATTTATTTAACTATTATTTTTTAAAAATATTGGGTGAATCTCGATTCGATCCAAATTCAACTCCTTAACCCTTTTTTCTTATTCGGATCGATGCATGATCTGTTTTTAAAACATTGGTTAGTACCACAATCTTGTGCATAAATTCTTAAATTATTTTCAAGGGTCCTATGGAATTTTATTGGAAGATGTCTGAATCTAACATTAATAAATATGAATTCGAAATCCAATAACAATTTTTGTGGGTCATAGGAAATTTTGTTGGACGATGTCTAATGAGATATGTTAATATTATAAAAGTGGTCAAAATTCAATAATAATGGATAGATTCAGAATAATTAATAATGGATTTGAATGATGATTTCTACCACTAATCCCATGATTAAGATTGATTGGGAGTGAGCTCATATTTTCCAGTGTCCAAGAAGGTTTCCATTCAGTCCTTGGATCATGTTTGGACCTATTTTTAATTTTTTTTTAATTCATTTTTGCACTTACATTCCATGGAATTTATAATTTTTTTTTTCAACTTTTCAATTATATTTTTCATCAACTTTTATTAAAATCTAAAAAAAAAAAATTAATTTTTAACTAAACCAAACAAGGACTTATTTGTATTTTGTTAAATAGAAATAGGGGTGGTTATATTGTCACCACAATTTTTATTTGTTACTCTACATTTTAATTGTAGTTTCTCGATCTTTGTTCATTGTAACTATTATTTTCTTAATTTTTTTATCGAATATTTATCATCAACCTTTCATTAATTAATACATCTCGTCCTAGATGTGATTTATATCAAAATATTTTGTTTCTATATTTTCAAATGAGGGAATAATATTTTTGTACTTTTTTTATTTATTTTATTTTTTAAAATACAATGAAAAATAAGTTTTTTATACGTTATTTCAACGAAATTTTTTGGACATAATCTGTTATCAAATACAAAATGTCTTAACTAATAAAAAGTTCGAGGATAAGAATGCTATCAAAAATCATTAGTAACATAAATGCTACACTGATTCATTAATGAGTAAAGATTGAGAACCTAAATATAATTAAAATGTGGTGCAAAAAATAAAAATTTTGTCGTCAATATAATTACCCGAATGATAGAGCTTTAATCCATTAGGTAATCAATGTGTTTGGAAATATCTATTTAATCAGAGTAGAATTTTTTGTGGTGTTGCATTTTCATTTCTCGTTATTCATCCCATCACTCGTGAAATCAAACATGATCTTCATTTATTTTCATCGTCAACTGCACATATCAAACTAAATTCAATAATATCGTGCAAATTTTACTCGAAATTAAAAAAAAAAATTACTTAGTCATAATTTTTTTTTAGTAAGACGAGAGCTTGAAAGGATATAAGAACACAAAGTAGTCATAAACTTGCTTATCTTATCGTGAATGCAACTTTTTTAAAATACAGTGAGCTAACTTTTTTATTTATATAACGTCTAAAAA